CGTATGTCGAGATATTGAGCACGCGGGAAGTTTGGAGAGCACGAAAGAGGCGTAAGAGTTGCACGAGGCGCAGCCGAGTGCAACTCTAGCATCTTGAGTGCTCTCCAAACTTCCCAAGTGCTCAATATCTCGACATACGCACAGCTGCAGCATGAACTAATTGTTAATTATAACATTATCAAAGAGATCAATGCAGCAGTTAACTTAAAATTTTATTATTGTAGGGCGCGCTCAAAGCAGTACGCGTCAATGTTTACGTGACTATATTTTTTTTCCTCACAGTTAATCTTATGTTTTTATCCTGAAACTGAGAGAAAGTGTACTCTAAAATGATCGTAAAATCCATATTTAGGTGCCGGAAAACTATAAATTTACCGAAAAATTGTTATTGAGAGAAAACAACTTTGCAGAGAAGGATCTCACGCAATAGCCCGCACAGCTCGAGGAGATGACAACAACAACAACAACACTCACCTCTTTTCCTTACTATCGGTTAACAAATTCAAATGTCTCCTCTTCAATTTCCTTATAAAACACATGGTAAACGCTTTATCGTGTACTGCCAAGTTATGGATGCACTCAGGAGACTCAGGATTGCTTAGCTCACATTAACAACTCGAGGAATTACGAATAGTTTATTGACGTCATCAGCGTGCTCAAAAGGAATATGAAGCACGCTCGCGCTATTGAATTTGATTAGGCGAATTTTCTAGCTATGTTATAAAGCAAATGGAACAAGTGTTAATAAGGATTTCTGGAGGTGCAAAGAACGGTTTTGGAGTTGTACTAATTTGTTTTAAAATCCGAATATGTTGAAATGGTGGGCTGACCATAACGTCCATAACTACCAGTAAGGTAAAACTGACGGATTATTTCAAGAAATATTTCATAAAGAATATAAGGTAGGCTCGTACAGAGATCCTTAAACTGACCTACATGTACTTGTACCAGCAGCGTGTTCGTGAGGCATCCAATGAAAGTCATGAAAATGAGATTCTTGGAAGAGAAGGTCCAAATTTGGCAACATACATTTTACTACGAGTAAATAGCATGCCTTTTCATTAAAAGTAAAGTGGATTAGTGAACTTTACATAACCCTTTCATTCAATAAAGCTTTTGAGACCAGTAGGATTAATAGTGAGAATTTAACTGATATACATTATGTAATATTAGAACAAAGATTTTTCCATTTAAGTCTGTCTTTGACACAAAACCTTTTCCAACTACTAAAAAGTTCTTAACATGTTTAGTTTTTGAGGTGGGACAAAAGTCTTTAAACCGAATACTTAATTCTGTTCAAAGTTCATCTTAAATTTAGCAACATTACCTGCTATTATTATTGTCTTGCAATCTTTTGTTCAATGTCTTTTGTTTTCTTTGTCAACTTAAAGCCTGGATGAACCCAGCAATCGCTGAAAATTAGAAGTGATGACAACAGGCTACTTGCAATCATGGCTCCAGAGAGAAACACAAAAAGTGAAATGAAAAAAGCAGTGTCGATCGTAAACGATAATGAGCTGTGGAAATTTTTGGATGTGGCCATTTTAGTTTTCGGGTTCAATTGTTGTAGCGTGACGCTCTTTGATGAACGCCGTATCACGGCGTATCTGCGGACGACATGATTTGTAGAATTGATTGCTAAGTTTTTTACGAATTGAGTCACGAAGAGGCATGCACAGGTGCTAAATTAACACATCCTCTTTTCAAAGTATCTGGTATCGAAGTATCGAAACTAGCTCCGAGAAACTGTGTATCAGATATCAAATGGGTACAAACACGACTACGGGTTTTTCCTGTCCTTCGTTACTAAATAGTTCCGCTCTTGCTTCTGGCTCTTGACTGCATTCAGGATCATTATAAACTGGAACTTTTGAAGGAAGGGTAAGTTTAAGATCTAAAATAATAAGGCAAAGTTTAGCTTCTAATAAGCACAGTTTAATTCTTACATTTTTACATTGCATTTGTGGAAAGATTCACTCTATCCCGGTCAATAATGTTCAGTACGCAGTTGCACTGAGTTTATTGGCATCATCTACACCACTCCCCTATAATTTCTGAACGTATCGATAAAATTTTCTTCGCTGACCAAGTCCGCAAAGTTACCTTTAAAAGCCTTGCGAAATTTCATATTAAGGCTTACTTCCTTGAATGATATAAAATATAGTGAGAGAAACTTAGCTTCCGCATATTTCATGCAACACATATGATGGCCAGAATATCTAAATTTGAACTGATAACCCTATTAGCGACATCATAAGCAGCACTGTATCATACTTCAATTATGGGTCTGGTTTGGTCCTAGTAGACGAATTGGAAGAAAGTTTTTCAACCTTTTATAAGCCGCGTGCTAGGTCACCGCAGCTTTGTGGAGGCAACTCACAATTCAGTTACACATGCGCAATAAAAGCCACCTTTTGCACGAACGAAAGTGGAAACTGTTTTCGATCGTGTTTAAGATCAGTTCAAACTAGACTGAGAGCAGTCCGTCAGGATGGTCACGCGAGCGAGGAAATCGAGCGAAGCGAGCGAAAGTAAAAAACAGTTTCCCTCTTGGCCATTTCGCTCTCCCTAGTCATGCCGAGCTTAGACTCGACTGACTGAAGAGGGACTGCTCGCAATCTACGTTCAAACATGTAAAGTGAGCTTTGACTATACCCTCTACAGAGAGGGATCTGGTTACGGGATTGGATTGTTGGCAAAATACGGAAGTAAATTCGCAACAATACATGCAGTCAACATGCAGTCATTTTAACTTCGTCATAAAGGCGATTCGCCACAAAACAGAGGTTGATTCGCCACACACCTAAAAAAGTTCGTGTCAATGACACCTTCGTCGAGTTGAAAAAAAAAATAAACATTCGGCTTTAAATTTCCTAATTTAAACTCACCAAAAAATTGCAGAACCTCTAGAAGTAAGTTCCTCTTTAAATAGAACTATCAGCCGTATCACAAATCTCAGAAATCGGTACTTCAATCCCCCCTTAGATCACAGAGAAGCTTGAAGAGAGGCAAGGTCCACAGGGATTTCTCCTTTACTGATATTAGCCGTTTTTTATGTAAGACCTTGTGTGGTTCCTTATTTGATAACTGCTTGCATTCCGGATCCTTGCTTAAGTCTCGTCGCGTGACTCCCTGCCATCTTGGCGCATGAGAACTGGAAGGGTCTCTTGCATATTAAACGGATTTCACCTAAACAAAACAATTGGTATCTGAAACCACGTGGAAATTGTAGATAATTATAATAAAAGAATTAGTGCCTTGGTTTAAATCGATCAGATCAGTATAGAAAAAACATAAACATAATTCGCTGATGAGCCAATACACGTTATCAAATTGTACGTCAACATGGGCAAAGATCTGTGTTGACAACACGCCAGTTTATCAATAGGAAATAACACGAGGAAAACCTTTGACTTCTGAGAGTTTTTTATCTGTTTTGAGGTTCAAGTAGCCCTTCATATAACATTTATCATCATTCTTTTACGGGAGGAAGTCTTGCTAGATTGAGAGCCACAAACAAAAAACACGTTGATAATTTACTAAACACCGTATTTTCGGGTGGTGTACAAAACACTGACCCCTAGTCTATGGACTGCCCTTATGGAATAACCTAAAATGGACTATGCCGCTAACGTTAATTGGTTAGGGTTAGGAAACTGAGCGAATCAGATTCCATTTAGGGTCATATTATACTGAAAAATCTGACCTGAAACTTGATTCACTCAGTTTCCTAAACCCAGCGGCGTAGTCCATTTTAGGGTAGTCCATATGGGTAGACTAGGGGTCAGTGTTTTGTCCACCACCGTATTTTCGTGTCTCAGTTTTGAATTTTAACAGTCATGCGAAAACCCATCTAGCTCTTAGCCAAGCTCTTAGCATTGTGCAGCTCATGCGCTTACCAACGAAGGTCACATTTTTGGCGCGAATTTTACTCAACTTAATTAACTGTCTCGTGAATTTCTATGCAGCATATTTGTGATTCGGCCCAACACAAAAGCTACCAATTTTTGTGATTTTAGTTTAGAACTCGATGGCACGGTTCTAAAACACGTTTCTGGTTATAAATACTTATCTACAATTTCAGTAGATGTAAATTAAAAAAGGCCCTCACAATTTTTGGCAGTTTACTCTGTTTTCTATGTAAAATAAACAAATTAAATACAGCAATTAGAAGCCAGGAACTGAACCTGCACAATTGCAGGTAAAGAATGATATACTATCTTGTTTATATAAATTATAGTAACATTTTGCGTGGATCAAGTGACTGTAAAAGCATAAACAACTGACAAGTTTACAATAAACAAAATAAACACTGATGTGGGATACGTGTTGGCAACACACGATATTGCCTACAAGCATTCGCACGAGCTGAACATATGACTTCAAGATTCTGTGCTTTTTAAAATTATGCAGGAGCTGTGAACAGTCTTTAGTGTAACTTTATTCCACAGCAATCTCAGTTATGCGCTGACAGAGCTATTTAGAATATAAGTTAATAGGATATCATTTTCTCTGCTGAACAGCTTCAAGGCTAAAGTCGACGAAATCAGGAAAAGAGTGCTAAGGTCGAGTCTTGTAGTGGAGGATAACTGCCGGCTAGACTGAAGGTAGACTTATCGAGTTTAAAAGTGAAGAAGCTTATGATAAAAGGAATTAGAAATCAACTTTTATCTTAAATGATATAACAATCATTTATGAACATAAAAATAAGACTTGAAGTAAAAATTTAATGGTTATAGAGGCTGGGTAAAATTTTGCATGTTAAATTTAAAACCGAAGACATCTCCCCTATCATGTAAGATTTTCTTATTGGGAAAAATAATGTGAAATTATGTTTCAGTTATATTCTATATTAATTAAATTCTCAGTCAAAGAGCGTTAGTTATAAATATTAGATATTCCCATCCATGATGATAGCTAATAACGAATTTCATCGTCTTGTATAATTTATATATTAATAACTATGGCTCTTTTAATTAGATAATTGATCTGATCGAGACATGGAAGAGCGCAAACAGACGGTGTTCAGGGAAGTCGTTATAATAGGAGCCGGTTGGTCAGGCTTGTTGGCATGTAAAAGCATGTTAGAGGAAGGATTGACAGCTGTGGCACTGGAAAAACGACCTGACGTGGGAGGCCTGTGGAACTATACAGACGATCCAAGCATAATAACGGTTATGAAGAACACAAAAACCACTTCTTCATCCACGGTGACAGAAATGTCTGACTTCCCAATGCCGGAGAAAATCGGCCAGTTTCCGAAGCAGGAAGATGTACTGAGCTATCTCAAGTCATACTGTGATGCTTTCGATCTTTGGCCGCATATTCGCCTCGGTCACTGCGTAATAGAAATTACGAAGGCCGACAAGTTGTGGCGTGTACGCTGTGAGAATGAGCAACTTTTTGAGAGTAAGTTTTTGATCATTTGCACAGGAAGCGTTCAGAAGCCCAATCGGGAACTTGAGCACACGATCCTTCGAGATTTTGTCGGAGAGGTTTGCCACAGTTCCGAATTGAAATCTTTTGTCCCTGAGCACGAAAATAAGCGAGTGATGCTGATAGGTGGGGGGGAGACTGCAAGTGACATTGTGGAAGAGTATTATGACCACGTGACACGCATTGTTTGGTGCATACCACGCGGGATGCATTTCTTCCGAAAGTATGCTAAGATCCTACCAAACAGACGACCTCAAGCTTTGGATAAAGCCTCCTCCCGAGTTATGAAGTCTATTGCTCCTTTTACAAAGGGTAAACCAGGTGAGTAAAGTTTAGCGTGTATGATTTAAGGTACTGTGCAATAGTTGGACAAATCTCACCCTGGTCTACTTGCCACGACTCTATCGAAGCTAGTGCTCTTTGGTACTTGTCCCAGTTTATACTTGAGATGGGATCAATGAGATGAGATGGGATAAAATAATACCCTTGTAGTCAACAAATAACGGCTTGCCGACGCTCAAAGAGGCGGAAGCCTATAGAAAACAGCAGAAATTCCATACTGATGACGCTTCACTACCCAGATCTGGGTAGTACTTCTGATTGGTCATACCGCGTGGGAAATTTGATTCAACCAATCACAAGCTCTACCCAGATCTGGGTAGTGAAGCGTCATCAGTATCGAATTTCTGCCCTCGTTTCATTTGGCGGGGAAAACCAGTTGTAGTGTCGCCAAACGTCAGCTGTTTTCTCAGGCTATTTGAAAGTCAAGTTGTTTAGAAAACTGTTGGAAGATTATCTAGTCTGAGGAGACAGCTGACATCTCACGATGCCACTGCTGGTTTCCCCGCGAAATAACGTCTGAGAAACGAGCGCAGAAATTCCATACTAATGACGCGTCACTACCCAGATATGAGTACTGCTTCTGATTGGTCGTGCTGAGTGTGGAATTTGCTTCAACCACTTAGAAGACTATCCAGATCTGGGTAGTGACACGTGATAAGTATAGAATATCTGCGATCGCTTCTCAGGCGGGGAAGCCAGTGGTGGAATTGCAAAATGTTGGCTGTTTTCTCAAACTAAAGATTATTTCTTTTCATGTTTTTTTTTCGTTGTAGGGCTCTCTTGGATTTGCAGTTGGACAACAAATGGCTCCTTACTCGCTTATCAAGGTCATGGCATTGCAGAGTGGAAAAATGATGCCAATTTTTTCCGATTTTTCATCAACAAAAATGGTCATGTGTTAGACAGAGTGGACTATCAGCGCTGTGTACCAAAGGGTGCCATTGAGAACATCAAAGGCAAAAGAGTTGTATTCTGTGATGGCACGGAAGAAAGTGTAGATGTAATCATCCAGTGTACTGGCTTCCAAACTGAATTCCCGCTCCTTCCCTCAAAGTTTCAAGCCGTACCTTTGACGCAAAATTACAAGTTCATCTTTAACGTGGACGACCCAACGTTAGCATTCGTTGGCTACGTTCGGCCAGTGGTTGGTTCGATCTCTGGAATTGCGGAGATCCAATCGCGATTTATCGGAAAATTTTTTTCGGGAAAGTGCGATCTTCCATCGCGAGATCAGCGTCTTCAGTCAACGTTAAAAGACAACGATTTCTGGGACGACTACTTTAAAGATTCTTCCCGAAGGCTAGGTACGCTGGTGGAAGCATACACATACATCGATGATATTGGAAGCCTTTGTGGGATCAAGCCAGACTACTGGAAGCTGTTTTGGCGCAATCCGCGGGCATGGCGACTAGCTGTCTTCGCGCCATACGACGGCTGCTCTTTTCGGCTTAATGAGCCAGATATGGAAGCATGGGCAATAGACCACCTAAGATTACAGATGGAAGACACATTTGGACCTTCGCATCTTATTCTGATTATGTTTCTGAGGCTAATTTGGTTCGACAATTGGCTTAACCTGCTCGGAAAGATCAAGTACTGGATTCAACGCTCGGTATGGTGGAAAAAGATGAGGGAATGGAAGTTAGTACAGACACTAGACTGGTACTGGCAAGCCCCCAAGCGATGGCTGTTTGACCGAAAAACCAGAGCATGATGACAGCATGGTCTCCCACACAAATTTGAATTCATGAGGCCAAAGAATAGTTTCCACTCCCTTCCAAGGGTGAACAAAACCTTGCATAGCAATTTCTATCCCAGCTTGTATCACAGTTTTGTTGCGACACAAGTTTGCCCCGTCTCGGAGCAACACCCTCAGCCTATTCAACAAATATATAGCTTGAACACGAGAACTCGAACCCAGACCACACATCGTTGGGAGAAGAAGTGTTCTCACCACTGCACCATTCTTGCTGTACCAATGGTTACGTGTGGCCACAAACAAAGTAGAGTAAAGTTCAATCGTAGTTAATAATGTGCAATAGCTCTAAAGCCACAAGGGTCTTATTCTCTAAAGACCTTGTCAAGAGGGTTCTTAGACTAGCTTTTGATATGTAATGTTTTTAACCTACTATGTAATATATTTAGTGTTTTTATCTTTATTTAATTTTTAGCGTTGTTTACTCTTAGCGTTAATTACTATGCTCATTTTAGCTTTTATTTTCTTTTAACATTTACGTGTTGTCACGCGCTTTTGATCATATTTGCATGGAAAAGGCGCGTTATAAATTTTTTTAAAAATAATTGAAATTATTATTATTATTATTTAATTATTAAAAGCGGACAGAAATATACCTTTCAAAATCAGCATGGCTTACAAAATGAGGTTTTTATTGGAGCAATACTGAATCGGTGAAACGTAAAGGTGGGAATCCGAGATTTTTAATTTCATCTGAGGTCTGTTTCAAACGTTTTCGTTCTGCTGTTCTAGGCTTGCTCGACTTCTACACGACCCTAGCACAACATAGTTAAACTAAGTCAAAAAATAAAAGCGGTTTTGTGAACTTTTAGACTGGGACCAGGCTCCTCATTGACCCCGTTTTTTGCCTTTTCCCTACCGTGGAGCCTGGTCCCAGGCTAGTGAACTTTTAAAATGATTTATGAATTGAGTTCGGCACCGTAGCACGACGGTTTGAAACAGGCCTAAAACGGACATCTTTGGGAAGAAGCAAGTCTGCCTTACGGAGAGTGGAGGAAAATATAACTGAACTGAAGAAAAACAGGTATCAACTCTAGGTGCCCCCCTTACAGCGGAGTCAATAGAAGGACTAGAGAAGAACAATAGGGACCAACTCTACAGCTGATAAAGTCAGCTGTAGAGTTGGTCCCTATTGTTCTTCTCTATAGTCCTTCTATTAATTCCGCTGTAAGGCGGGCACCTAGAGTTGCCGAAAAGTCGTTTTCTCCTCTCAGCAGTTACCAAGGGAGTAATAACGCTTCGAAGTAATCGGATGATATTCAGGGTACGGCATTCATGGAAAACAGGCTTTTTCTTCGTATGTACTTAATTGAATAATTTTAATACCGTATTTAGTGAAACCCAGTAAATGTAATTAAGGTTTTTAATTTTTTTTAATATTATGTGCCTGATGAATTTGTAACACCGTGCATAAATAAAGATTACCTTACCTTACAACTTTTTGGGCCTGACGGTTTATGATTTTTCATTGTTTTTAACCTCTTGTAAGCGACTGCTTGACGCATTTTATGATCTCTATTTTCACTGTGTTCACTATATAACCTGAGATAATCAGACCCAATTTTAGCGGTTCTCATACATTCTCTCTAACAGCTACCACTAGCCCGCCGGAATGTTATTTTCAAAGCGAAACAAAAATTGACCCCAATCTCAGGTTATACACTATGTTACTTAGAATATACGAAGATCTTTTATGGCAACATGGAAGTATCATATCCTAACTTAGACATTGCACCCGAAAAAATAATCTTCTATAAGTAGATGTACCTGGACCTCTTCTCGGAAGAGACTCCCTGTGGTTCAATTCTTGTAAGCGACCATGCACTCAGTCCTCGTATTTTGGGTGGTCGCTTACGGGAGGTTCAACTGTAGTATTATTAATAAAATGGCAGAAGCGCACCCTACAACTACGACGAAAAATAATCCTCACAAATGCTGCGCTTTGCAATAATCATTCCGATAACAGGAGAGACTTGACGTTTCACGTATTTCGGAAGGATTCTTGCCCAAGTTTAGTTTCCCTACTGTCCACTGCACTTTTCAAGGCACGTTCAATTACCTATTGGGGTTAATTTTTAGTCCCTAAGTCACAAATCGTTCTTATTTTCCTTAGGCCTCGCTTTCACGCTTACGTTGTGTGCAAAGCAGAAACAGACTTGTTGTCTTCGCCAACATACTCAAACCGTAATATCAATCAAGAAAAGGCTCCAAGTTAAGATCAGCAAATAAGTTGTGAAGAAATAAAATTAATTGAACTGAATATATGAGTCATAACCAGCCTGATTCTCAGAGCGTGAGTCCAGTTTCTCGAGGGAGAAATAACTCAATCTAAAGAGGCGAAACGTGGTAAGCCACGAAACCAACAGTCAGTGATACTTGTGATTTATTAGTATTTCGCCGTTGGTTATGTACAAGTTATCACTTAACTATAAAAAAATATCGCATGTGATTTAATAGCTTGCAAACTAATTGATCTGAGGGGTGTGCAGCGAATTGCGCTAGTGAAAATTTCAATCATCCCTTTCTCGCTGTCAACTAATTGTTGTTGTTCGCTGCCTATTTTTCAGCGCTTTCCCGAATGGAGAAATTCCTGCTGACAAGGCAACTATTTTGGTCCACAAGCGAGATCTTCCAAGGGCAAAAATGGGAAATTTTACTAGGAAAGCTACAAGTATCCACTGTGTGAGCAAGGTCAGCAATAAAAAAATTCAGATCCCCCCCCCACCCCCGTCGTAGATTCTGCCAGCGTCAAAAATGTATAGTACCTCCCATTCATAAACTTAACTTCTATTACCGCCAGTGGTTCACCGTTTTTTACTGCAAGTTCGTCTTTAACCTCCTCATCAGGCTTTCAAAAAAGAAAGACCCGGCAACTTGTTTTTTATATAACTAGCGGCCTTTGCATCACTCCTTATTCACATGAACCAGGATTAATTTGCATATTGCAGTATTCTCCGCACATAGTGTGTAATTAAACGTTATTCCAACATTTGTAAATCATGACGTAGCAAGCTATTTTTGTCTTAATGGATGATCGCAAAATTGTTCTAGGTACAAGATGTTACCTTGTCAAACTAACAGAAACAACAAACAGATTCTGCGGTCCTTCCTCACTTCAGCTCTTCACAATCATTTGTTAACAGACTAGGGCATCCAACTACAGCAGTCGCGTAAATAGTTTTACATTTTGCTTTCACGCCCGCGTATGTTCCACCAGTAAAAAGCAGCCATAACGTTAATTAAAGACCTTATTTAAATATCATCCATTCTTGTAAAGTTAATGAACACAGCTTTGATCAACGATCACCCCACGAAATAAAAAGCTCGACGAATCCGATGAATATGAACACATATCAACAATTTTCGTTACTGTTATATATACACCTAAGTTTGATAAGCACAAGCACGAACTTCCAGTTCATTTACTATGTGTTCATTGCTTTCAAAGGACGCTTTACACGTTCCACTGGCGTTTGGGATCTATTTACTAATGGAATCTTGCTGCTGACTGTAAGGTTGGGAATACTGGAAGCTTTAGTCAGCGGTCTCTCTCTATTCTCTTTATCTTTGGGTGTGTTCGCTGACACGCCTTTACTGCGGGCTGCAGCTGTAACAGGCTGGCAAAATAATAAAAACAAGCAGTGAGTGAATTCTCCCCTTCAATTTTTTGTTTAGCAGGCCTTTAAACTAATTCATGGGTCAAATTTTTTAATTTGAACTTTTGCTTCGAACTGTCAAGTATAGTGTTCATGATAATGAAACTGCCGTCTTTAGCACTGTTATTTCAATACAAAAACCAAACTAGTTAACTGCGACCTTAAATGAAAGGTGGACATTCAAAATGAACCAATAACAACTCGAATTATAGGTAACCGGTGTCAAGCGAAGCACGGGAAAAGGAGAGCAAGGGGAAGAATAAAATAATGGCGCATAAAATGGTGCGTAAAATGGAAAATCACAAAAGCATGGCAATGAACCACTAGAGTAATGACAAAAAAATCTTTTGATATTCAAGTAAACAGATGAAGTGCAGCTATCCTTACCTGAGGTTCAACAAACACCGGATCATCTGCCGCAGATTCGCCTTCCTCAAGACTGTCATAATCAGGAACAAGAGCATCGCTCTCACTTGCATGTAGTGGGTACACGCCATTATCGGAACTAACAGTGCTACAAGTGCTACCGCGGCTCAAATCAAACACCGGAACTCCTTCTTCACTTGAAACGCTCTGCAGAGAAAAGTGATAAATTAGTGCTGATGTCGTGACATTCGCCCTTGCAAATTTCTTACGGGTATCTTTTTTATCGCAAAGTTTAACTTCGCTCATTCGATGCCTGTGGAAAGTCCATCTGGACGCGCTTTTCGAGGCAGTCACAATATTTTAAGTTGAAAATAAATGGTGAGGATCTTTTTATTCTGACCAGTACTTGACCTTTCAAATGGTAAAACCGTGTTGTCTCATTTGATGTTTTATTTCATGCCTGTGGCATGTCCATAGGCCTTTCTTCAAAAAAAAAAAAACTATAATTTTTTTTGTTTTCCCTCCTGTGGGGCGATTGTAAGTCCCCAGAGACATTAAAAACAATGCTTATGCAAAATTTTGGAGGGACAACGAAGTATGAATGGTAAGACTCTTTTCTTACCGACCTGTTTTTGGCCTTACAAATTGTAAATGCATCTTGTCGCTTTGGACATTCACAAGCAGCGCCTTTTGTAGGTTTATACTCTTTATCCCTGCCATCTGTCAAATTAAGCTTCCGCAGTGTGTCTCTCAGAAGATAAGAAACCAATGACCACGGTAGCACTTTTGCCCGGTGACAGAAAACGATGAAATTAGAAAATTTCTAAAAATGACCAGCTGAAATGTATTGACGAGGAAGGATTTTACGGAGCCGTTATCTTTCACAACGGAAAATTAAAAGATACACATACCTTGATAGGTACAGGCTCCGGTGAAAATGGCATCTCATAACTGGCTGAGAATCTTTGCCTTAGCTGGTCGTGAGGTTCAGTTCTTACAAGCTTCGTGGGGAAGTTGAATGGGCGCCTCTGAGGTGTGGAGCCTAGAGTAAAAACACGTCAGTCGTTAACGTAAGGCTAAGAGGCAAGGGAATGAACATAAGGGATGTGCACAATGTGGCTATGTCCCTCATAGAACACTGTTCACTTAATACAATATTGTCGGAGGGGACGAAAACCGAAAAAAACAAAACAAACAAAAAAACAAGCAAGCCCTCCCCCTTCCCCCTCTGGAGCTTAATCGCAGGCTAACCTGCCTTTCGTCCCTGTCTTTTTTCAGTCATTTTCCTTGATTCTTCATAACGCTAATAAAAGTAAAACAAACCCGTAGGAAGGTCGTCTTTGAGTTCATCCACCAAAAATTTGTTGACTCTGGTATCAACTTGCTCCATACGTTTGCTTTGGTCACATGCCCATGCGCTGACCGCTTCTGATTGGTTGGTTAGTTGTAACTCTTGAGTTGCCGCCATTTCATCTAGAGTGTTACCGTGGCAATTAAGTGCTTGCTGCACGTCAGTCAAGTGTTGTTGTACTTCTTCTCTGCATACCTAAACAACAATTTTCTTTTAATTGGCGATAGATTAATTTCAGTGACTAAATCGTAAGTAGAGCAAAAGCTACAGAGGAAGTGGTGCCAGTTTGAAAGGTTGCCTCTGTGTCCGCGGTCTGTAAACCAGCGAATGAAAAAGCATTTTACAAACATCTTTGTGATTTGATTCAACATAAAAAATCTCATTTGAGCAACGAGATGAAATGTTGAAAAACGTAAAAGAGAAGTACAAGTAGAAGCGAGAAAATTCAGGAAAACGTAAGGGTGAAGAATATCACGTAAATAAACCTTGATAGAGAACTGCTGCTTCGTCGAACAAGACTTGATGGCGTCCATGTGCTGGGTAAAGGATTCATTCAGCATGTTTTTCCACTGACCAGCCAGCTACAAAGACAAAAAAGATCGGAAACTAAGAGAAAAAATCTTAACGAACAATCTTAACACCAACCCCTACGCGGCTATCTGATGCACGTGAACCAAAAAAGCAACAGTTATTGGAGCATTACCGGACTGAGTACTCACATACCTCGTCAACTTTGTGAGAAGCATTAACAACATCCACCTCGACTTCTTTATGAAGATTTGCGGTTGCCTGCAACTGCTCCGCGGCCTAGAGAGGAAAACCTCGTCAATACTCTTAGTTAAATACATTTTTAGGCGAGGCCATCGGCTTAAACAGTTGCAACATCAAGTTAATCTGCTTAAATTATGGAACTACATTGTCAACAGGTTGGATGACGTTATTCACATAACAAATCGTTATTCAGGCGATAATATTTATTCAGTGGGAGCTATATCGTAGCTCCTAACAACTGAAATCAAAAATAAGGCTTTCTTAATGGTTATCAAACATTTAGGGTAAATATAACTCATCCAGTTTTCAGAATTTTCGTATGTAAAAGCATTTTCTTTTTCTTCTTAACGAGTAACATCTTAGAGAGTCATTCATTTGATTCATCTCAGCCATAGAAAACAAAACAGTGGTTTTTTTTTTTTTTTCTCAAAATCGTTTTTTAAAACGCACGAAAAATGAGAGCCGCTGCAGCGTGAGAGTGTCAGACCCGCGAACCGTGCGAGCATCTCAGTCTAGCTCTCCGTTTTCTTCCACGCTCCAGACCTTTCGTTTTACTATTCCCGCGTACTTCAATGACTACCCAAAAATACGGAATCTTTTGCCATCTACCCCAGCTACCCTTCTCCAACGAAAGTAGCTGTAACGTATTGTCTTTATTAAATGCATAAATGTTTCATACCTTTTGAAATTTGGATTGTGCCTCACTGTTGTTGTCGTTAACAGTTTGAACGCAGTTTTCAGAGAACTGGGAGGCGCAATTCTTCAAAGAGTCACAGTAACTAAAATAAAAACAAGATTCCAAGTTAGATTGAAAGGATACTTTGCCAGTTTGTAAAACATAAACTTTCAAATCTGAACTTTCTTCTCACCTTCTTAGATTTGTACGTGTTGATTCCGCACCTTTAAGAGCTTCTGTCGTGACTTCTTTCAGCTTTCAATGAAATAAAAAATTGAGTATTCATAAAAACATATATATAAAAAATAACTTTGGAAACATCTCAGGAGATAAAAAACATCCCACTACGACCAGTAAACAAAAACAAACCTCATGTTAAAAACCGCTCAAAACGAAAAATGTAACCGTAAAAAATAAGTATCTTAAACTGAATCTGATTTTTGTGTGCCATTTTGGATGGTTTCTACACCGTCATGGCATGATAAGAAGAAAATGAAAAGTTCACAAGGTTTCTGCTGTTTCCGAGGCGACTACAGCGTTCATAAATTGGTAAGTAGTTCAAAAATGGTAAAACAATACTCATGCAGACGACGACAGGTTTGAATCTAAATGTCGTTCGATGCATGATTAACAATTACTGCACGAGGTCGAGCAAAATATCGTGATCTGCCAGTCACTAACAAATCACGATATTTTGCGAAGACCGAGTTTAATTCGGTCGCCGAGTTTGTCTTTTTTCAATGAATATCTGCCACTTTGCCATTTTCACGCAAAGCGACGCAAGAAGGAGAAAAGCGTGGTTTCATTTGCGCATGAGCAGATTATTAGTTGGACGACATTGTGCATGAGCAGACCATTATTTTCAGGTCACATGTTAAGGACACATGAAGGGCTCTCGGCTGTCCTCTCGGCTAATAAAAAGGGAGAAAAATTTGCATAGAATTACAATGACGAAGATATGCTTGACTACGGCAATTTTCTGTTGACAGTTTCAGTTTTTACACGTAAGGCTCGGACGTTTGAAAATTTAGACGTGTTCTACACGTAAAGTAGATCAAGATTCAGCTTGAGTCAAAAGAATATTGACACAAATAGTACAATTGGTTCGGCTTTGCTGCCATTCACCTTTCCAGTATCAGTTGTTAGTTTATCAGTCTGTTGATCCACCAGGTCCTGAAATAATGACATCACTTCTTTGAAAAACGTCTGCTGTAGTTCCTTTGAAAACAAAGAAGACAAAATCCGCTCATAAACGATGACTTATCGAGGATAGCCCGCGAGCAGGCTCACTTCCATTGTGCGAGTCTTGTGAAACTACACTATGCATTTCCATGCAAGCTACAACTAGCAATCACAAAGGAAGAGTACTTCACATCAAGACACACATTACCTTTATTAAGACTTTCTGGTTGGTCATAACAGAATCTGTGTGAGTGACAATGTCGCCATAAGCTTGGGCCTTAAAAAAAAGAGACACCTCAATAATGCATGAAGGATTTATTTTATTCTGAGAGCATTAAGTTCGAGCTGTCCAATTTTAACCGGTAGAGAGAAGTAAATGCATGGCTTTCACCGAGATAGAAAAAAAAAAGAGATGTCATTGACATGCCAAACGTGACGGAAGTTGAATGTACAGTCTCAGGAATTTGTAATTAGCCTTTACAAATATATCCGTCTCACAGAAAGTTAACTTTAAGCCAACAAAAATTAATTCGTCCACAGACAAGCGAAGGCTCTTTTCCTTGCCTGAAGCGCGCAAGATCGTCACTAGGCTCCGCTTCGCCGGGCGCGTCCGGCCAGTCCCATTCAGGAGAATTTGCTAGCGCTTTGTTATAAATCACCCTCACTGTCGGTATACTTTGACAGCTTTAGACGGTATTTTTCACTGATATTTCTGGCAAACCTTTTGCTGAATCCTCTAAAAATGCGAGACCTTTTTAACTACCTAAAATACTTACAATAGTGCTGGTGAATGGATAACATAGATGTCGCTTAATGTTTACTGTCACGATTTTCGAATCTTTTTTGTTCTCAAAACACCCATTGTGTTTCAAGGTACATTGTACAACGTACATAAAGAAGGTTCCGCCAAAGGGATTCAAGCAAAATTTGACTTACTTGTTCCTGAGACTGCCTGTCAATCATTTCTTCTAAACTGTCGATCATTGATCCTTGACCCTCCACAAAGGTTTTCACCATTGAAGAAAACTGATTCATCTAAAAAATCACAAAGCGTTATGAACTTTCAGAAAGCAAAATAAATTTTGAACGCTTATCCGACGAGCACAATAGAATGAAGCTTTAAAATACCTTTCGTTTTAAATTCTTACGCGATTTTTCAAAAACGAGAAATTTTAAGCTTTCAAGTAGCTTGTACAGCTGTAGTGAAATTTCCGAAAGAAGCGCGAAATGTGCATTTTATAAAATCGTAAAATCAAATTAAAAGAGAAGCAAAAACTTATGTAATAATAGATCCGGTCAAAAGGACAAAATTCAGCCTTTTTACATGTAAACATGTTCAGCACAAAACTAGGCATTCACCTTATCAGTAAAGAAGACCATAAGCTGCTCCTGAAAATTCGCCATTGACTGCACGGAGTTTTCAAGAGCTCTCATTTTTGGGAGAAACTCCTCATTCCTTAGTGTATTTAACCTTGAAGAAATGTTCTCCTGGGAAAAAAAAAAACATCAAAACCATTAGAATTTTATGTCTTAGTTTTAGAACTTCAGTCGTGAACCAATAAATTATAACAATGACCCAGGAATCATTAATTATAGAATCAAAGCTCTAGTAAGAGACCAAAAGATAAACTTTATTGAGCGTAGTCGTCTATACGAGAGCTTTTAGCCGAATAACGCCTTTTAAAAGCCAGCCGCGCCCTTTTCTGGTCTCTTCTTTACACAGCCTAAGTCACAGGTCAAACAGGGTTCCACAATGCTGTTAGTAAGTAAAGCTGGTCGCATGCGAGAGTGGTCGCAAGGACAGCATCAAATGCATGCACCGCACTCTTCGCTCTATTAAAAACACCCGGATAAAAGATATACCCGTCATAACGAGGATATTTTACGAGTCCCTGGGAACTTCATGTTATTAGTATTCAACGGGTAGTTTGCTGCAAGCTGCAGAAAAACCTGCACAAATGGTAATGATACCTTTTTATGTTGATTTATACTGGAACTGGTGCTGTACAATTTGGCGTTAGCATCAACTTGCTCCTAAAAATGAAAGAACAAAATGCCTTAAACACCTGCGACTATCCCGTACCATCATGTAAACATCACTGTTAACAATAAGAAAAAGGCAAATAAATATATTTACTAAACAGGAGAGGAAAACTATTGTAAATCAAAACTGTGTTTTAAACGTAGAGCCTGAACCTTAATTAAATAATCAGTAAAAACTACCTGATCTCTGAAAGAGATTTCTTGCATTTGAGAAGCCACGCTATCCGTGAACATTTGAACTTGTTGCTCAAGTTTCTGGGATTCTTCTTTTTTCTTTGAAACAAGGTTCCCTGTTCAATAAAATAACCAGAACAACAACAAAAAGAAAACATCTTAAATCAACATTTGAATTTGTCCACAAATTTTCGGGCCACTCAGTTACATTTTACAGGGTAAAATTCTCTCAAGTTTTTATGGCACAAAATGGTCTCCGAATACGATGCGAAAAACCGTTGACAAAACCAGGATCGGACCGGATTCCTATCCATAACCTTTTGCCATTTTTTAGTGAGCATGGTTCGTACAACTTCAGACAAACAAATTTCAAGGACTTTTCAAGGACTTTTCAAGGATTTTTCAAGGAATAATAAATCAGCATTCTTTAACCCCCTTTGATCACCCTATTGGCTAAAACAGGTCATGGAGTCATTTACGATTTGTACTTCTTCAGCCGTCGTTGATCACATCAGTATTTCATACTACTTTCCACAACGACTGGGTATGACTTTCAATTGTATCAAAGGTACAGAAATAGCATTTGAAATAAAGAAACAGAAATAAAATACTGTTCATGAACAAATATGCTTTTACGTTACCCCTGAGTTTTACAGGTTGTCACACCAAGGATGAGCCAAATTTTCCTCGGCAAAATAATCTAATTTTACAGCGTAGACTAGGTTGTGAATTTCCGGAGGACTTTTCAAGACCTAATAAAGAAATATCAAGTACTTTTCAAGGACCTAAACCGAATTTAAGGACGTTTTAAGACCACTAGTAAAATTCAAGACCTTTAAAAGATTTACGAACCATGGTGAGTTCCTTGCGGTACGAGCCAGCGAATTTTTTTGACACCTTTGAGAGAACGACATCAATTAATTCTTCACGGTTTTAGTATGTCATCTTACCTAATGTTTTCTTCATTGCATCAAAGAAGACGACATTTTCTCCTTGGAAATGGTTCAGATTCTTCATGACTGCTTTAACCATTCCTTTGCAATCAGTTTCGAATGATTTACGAGCATTTGAGTTGTGAGCCTCAACACTGTGCTTGCGATAAAGTTTTGAGTGAAGTCCATCCACATGAGACACCGTGTCTTTGACAACAGAGAGAAGGTTTTCAGCTTGCGAATGCAATTTCTGTTCGTTTCTGCTGTGCTCATCCACAAGGAACTGATTCTCATCTCTTTTAGCGACAGTTGTTTTAAGCGTACATTTAGTTTGCTGCAGTTTAAGACTTGTCTTGTTTAGCTGAGTTTCTTTTTCAACCAACTCCACGCATCTTTCTTCAAGTTCTTGTTGTGTGTCTGTAAAAAGGTCGGTTAACTTTCTCATTTCGTCCTCAAGAGCTGCGATTTTAGCTTCTTTTTCAGCAATCAGCTCATGTTGAGATTTGATTTCTTGCTGCATGGCACTGTATAAAATAAAAGAAAGATTGATTCATATCGTCTTTTTTTTGTCTGGGAGACTGCTCCTTTTTTTTTTTCAAAATAGTGGGCGGTTTCAATTTAACAAATTCCGGTTAAAAATTTCGGAAATTCCACGTGCCGATGGACCGGTACATTCTGGTTGCATAAACCCGACACAAGCCACCGCGCGTTTGTGTAAGCAGGATACAAAAGAGCAGTACTGGGGACAACAATTTTTGTCAAATGGAAACGGACATTTCGGTCAGACCTACCGAGATAACCGGACCGGTCAAAGTGGACCACCTTCAAAGCTGGTCCCGAATATTCTGATCGGACCAAACTGAAATGGTCCCAGTTCCATTTGACGTACCAACCGAAATTTCCGGAATTCTACATTAGCATAGTATGTCTTCTGTTTTACCCAAAAGGTGGCATGATGCTTTTGTTCAAACCTTTTTTGTGGTGATGTCCGACCAAAATTTTGTTTTATCCGATCCAGATGGTGTCTTAGTAGGACATGATGTCCTTTCAAGAAAAAAAAAATATTCGCAGCCCTGCTCTGATGCTGTCTGCTTTGGAGAGATGGTGACTTACTAAAAATAATACCGTCTAATGTATTGTCATAAACCCATTGATTAAAGTAAACATACTGGTAATTTTCCTCTGCAATATAAATGCCATTTTTCTCTCTTGCAGCCAAGAGGTCCTTTTTAAGCTTCTCAATTTCTTCAGTGTACTCCTGAAATCCAAAAATAATATCTATCTCATCATTACATTCCACTGATATACAGTAAACACCCGCATATAAGAACACACGATTTCGGAGGTCAGGCTGATTGAGTTCTTATTTATCGGGTGCTTAATGACAAATCAGCCTCAAAATGTTCTTAAATTTTTATTAAGTAATACTATCCAAAACATGTTGCTAGAGGTATATTTTAAGCATATTTTAGCAAAATAAAATAAATAATTATCCAGTAATTTGATCATATTATATATTATATTATATCATAAACTTACACGCTTTGTAATCATGATACTTTTTCCATTTTATAAGAACAAGTTACAATTGTCAGGCTAATCTTGTTCTTATAAAAATGGGGCTTTATTGGCCAAATTTCAGCCTGGTGTTCTTAATCCGCTTGTTCTTATATGCGGGTGTTTACTGTATCAGTGCCAAAAAATGGGAAAATCTACTGATTATGGTTATGTTAGGTGTGGTTTTCATAAAAAAGGGGGTTTAAATATCACACAGGGTAGTGGCAGCCCTGATCACATTGTAAATACAGTCCCTCAAGAGGGTATATATTAGACATGACATGACTTAATAGTGGTATTTTATATTATTTTGAGAATCACTGCATTCCATTTTGTGGTCAAAACAAAAAACAAAATAAATGTGAGCGAATGATAGTGCCTTCATGATAGCGTCGATTATCACTACAGTATATGTAAGGTAATGACTGTATTTAATGTATTAATAATTTACGTTGTGCAAGTAAAGAAGTAACTGTCACAAGGTTTATTTCAGAGGATTTTGTATCAGCTGAGAGGTTTTTTTTGTCCTGACTGTGAGACCAATGAATTCAGAAGATCATGGTTTACCTTGATCAGAGTTTTCTTGGTTAGCTTCTGGTTGACTTCAGGTCTATTTAAGATGTTCTTTGCTCTATGAGCATAGTCAAGAGTGCTGAGTGTTTCCTGTAACAATAACACATAAACCCAAAACAGTTAGTCAGAATTTTACTACAACAATGACACTACATATAAATCATGCAACTTAAAGTATTGTGAAAAAAGACAATTTCATAACTTAGAAGCTAATTCTGTAGCGCACCTCCAAGTTACAAAGGGCTGGTGAGATGGTGGCAATTATTGAGGTCTTTGTTCGTCCTCCAAGAGAATCTTGCAGCAGCCGGGTAAGTTTACTTTCTCTGTAATTAAAAGGTAACATCAAATTTGTTAAATTCAACAAATTATCATTTAATGAATTTTTTTTTCTAATCAGTTAAATAATAATAAACATTGAAATCTTTAAATATGCTATAAGGCAGTTAGTGAGTTTGAAATCACAGATAACATCTGGATCCATGCCTTAAAACTTGCTGTTTTTCAAATGGCTCATTATAATTTCAACACTTAGAACAAATGCTTGCAAGAGCACTGTCTAGTTTATTTATTCATTTATTTTTATGCTTATAAAATTGATAGTATTGAATTAAAGTTTACATGCATGTAGAGAGTACCTGTAAGGTATGTGAGGCGCTCTTTCTACTAGTGATGTGATCACTCTTCCAAGCGTCAGCAAACTCTGATTGATTGTGCCTGTCAATAAATGCATGTAAAAAAACAAATCTCTTTGCTAAAGACTCTGCACTATAACATACCCAATGTAGTTTCAGTTTTTTGCCTCGATGACTCAATCTCTTTCACAGCAGCTCTCTGAGTTATATGATGAAAAATTAAATAGATCAACAAGCTATTCATAAAATCTTGATAAAACAATTTCCTACCAGCTTCTCTGAGTCGTTTGTCCACAGCACCTGATCGGCCAACGTTCTCACTTCCTGCTAAATCCACCTGAACAAAATGACAAACAAGTTGCAAGTGTACTCTGTAGGATTAGAGTAAAATCTATTCTGCTCAAAGTCCTATTCTTATCCATGTTTTTTCTACAACTTCTCTTTCTCTTTTGCAGAGTAGCAAGATAGTGTCAAAGACTTTTGATTTTTCTAATTAAGTATCCAGTTATTTTAAGAGAAAGTTGCGGTATTGATATATTTAATCTTGCACAAAAGTAAGCTACGGTGTACATGTAAAAGTAATTTATAATAACAAACATCTGTTAGGTTAGAATTTAATTCTGCATGTAAAGTAGGGCAATCAAGGCTTACCAAATTCAATTTGCCAATTTTCAATAGTTCTTCACCACTGACAGAATTCTCTTTGATGTGAATGGTCACTGAGAACAGTGAATGAGAACGACTGAAAAAAAAGACACAACAGATTATTTTGTGTATGGTCTGCTGCAGTGCACATAAATTATAACTGAGTAGGTTCACCTTAAATGAATTCAGTTTTACTGTATGATGTGGCTACATAAAATGTAATTTAGGAGAGGTTAAACGAGAGACACTGCTGGCTGGTGGTCTCCATCACTAATCGTATGTGGGGTGGTCTTTGAGCGTTTGCAGCAGCAGGGCTCCTGTAATTTTACTGACAGTGCCTTTGTTGAGATCAATCATTTCAATTATGTTGCCTTGATGTTCATGAGTCACTTTTATTAGCTGTTTTTGCTACCAGTTCCCTCTTCCTTCTAGATTTCCATTGTAAAAGTATCTGCAATTCTCTCCACTGAGAACCTCCGTGTCACAGTAGCTTTGGTGGGACCAGACTCCGCAGTGGGAGAAAAAAGGCAAAAACAGGGTGAAGTGTAATGGTACCTATTGGTTGCCTCTCACAGGATTGTAATGCCAAAAAAATCGTTACCTTCCACACTCGCTTGCAGCTGTCTCAGTATGACCACACACCTAAACTATACATTGGTGAGTTTAACACATTCCATCCCTCATTATCGTTACTTTACCTAGAATGTGCATTCATTAGAGTGGCAGCCGTCTGCCTCTTAGCTCGGCCTCTCTCAAGAATATTGTACACATCATCTTTATCATGGACCACCAGTTCCTCTAGTCCTTGTATGACGACTGAGCCCTAAAATGCACACTAACAGCATTAATGTTTAGCCTGGATGGAGTACTCAGACCCATGAGAACAAAAAGGACAAGAGTAACCTGCAATTTGTCTTTTACCATTCACACCACCTGAAATTTTGCCAAAAAATGCCTTTTAACTCAAGTTAGTTTAGCTGTTTTCTGATCTTTATCTGGCCAAAAAGAACCAAACTATAAACTAAAATGCAACCCAAATCAGGGTGCAACGAGAACCATTTTTTATTTAACAGCCCGCCCTTCGGGCAACTTGTAACTAGCATGTACTAGCCCGAGATTTTTCGTTTACAGGTTTTTACCAGAATTGAGTAACTTTTAACTGAAATTCTATGTGGCTGTTTGAAATTTCCCCAAAAACTTTCACTTGCCCGTTGGGCTAGAAAAGCACACAATCCATTAGCCCAAATGCAAATGCAATACAATCGGACACAGCTTTTGTTGCCCCAAATTATTAGAAGAACAATATTGGCACTGACAATAATTATCTGGGATTGGTTGCAATGACAACTCATACCCTGTGCTTGCTGTTACATGTATGTCAGGATCAGAGGCTGGGCTGACTGGTGTTTGAACAACTGTAGGCTCTTGCAGGGGAATTATTTTTGGAAAGCCCTAGTCTTTGATCTTTGTTCCTGAAGTCTTACCTTGCGAGTGGAATCCTCAAAAAGACGCATTTTTTGACTGTCCAAACTTGGGCTCAGTAAATCAAAGAGCTCTTCATTGTAAATTTCTAAAAATGACACTCTGACAGAGAATTCACAATCCTGAAACACAAATTAACATCAATATTATTATAATTATTACCTGTCTAAATAATAGTACACTTAAATTTAACCTACAATAATCATTTTAACAAGCACACAAAGCCCTAAAGAAAAGAGAGCCACGAGCATCATCATAACTGAGCCCTTATGACCTAAATGTAGCCAAAATCATTCATTTTGTTCAGTGACTCCTTTTAATGTTTCAGTAGTCCTCAGCAACAGGATTCATGGTAAAATCTATTTTGTCAGAGCTGGAGGCTCGAAGTGGAAGGATGAACTAATAACAAGGCTGCATGCAGGTTCCAACAATTTTTTTATCATTTTGCTTTCATCTCCAAGCTGCCATGATTCTTTCAGCATTTTCACTACCATATGTAGGTGTGTAACTTGATAAATAAACTCACTGTTTGACTGTTGAGTTTTTCCAACAACTGATGCATAGTGCGTGGAATTATTCCGGCTGAAGGATCCTAAGGTAAACAACAGTAAAAATTAACAACACTTTAGAGATAAAGAAAGCCAGGTTTTGAAGTCCAGATGTGGTGACGATTTCACAGTCAAATCACATACCTCCTCCCAAGAGCAATCTTCCTGACTTCTCTCTCCTTCCATCGTGTATGTTTTACCTGTTCCTGTCTGGCCATAGCTATGATAACACGAAAGATGTTACTGCTGCTACTTTTGTCGAGTGATATAAATGATGTGGTACAGAATCACAAATGCATGGGGATCGCCAGCCATGGAATCAATTAATTACTGTCTAGGGATTGGCTGGTCACAGTGATTAGGCCCCCCCTTCTATACAGTATTAAGAACAGTATTTGTTGACAACATTCATAACACATGAATGCTGTCAAATCACAGGCAGTTAATTAAGGTCATGAGCATGACTGCACAGCCCTGCAACATGACATAATTTACATGTAGAAGCTGCTGTCTTAGTAATTCTTTCATACTTACGCAAAGATTGTACAGTTGTATCCCATCAAAACTTCATCCAAAATTGGCACCACAACAGAGCGATAAACATCAATCTGTTTAGTTTCAGGGGCAAATACTCGGTCAAATGTGAATGTTTTTGTTGTTGTTGACACAGAAGTGGTGTTACCAATGTCATGTTTAACAACAATTTCCCGTTTGGATGGCTGGCATTTGACCACAGATGGCGAGCCTTCTTTGATTTCTTTTGAATTACGAGGTCTAGAAAATAAAAGCAAACTTTATAGTTTGGTCTTACGTCAAGGAAAATACAAGAAATCACACAATGAAGTTTACAGTGTACAGTATGTCATTAAGTGGCATAACACCCTGCAAAGTTCATATCATGACAGGAATATGGATGCATATCACATGAATCATTGCAGGTACATATGGTTTGAGATAACAGATTACCACACTTTCATAACTGCACATGAGGCACGTCTTAAATGAAATAATAAAGAATACTACATTACAATTCATAGATCAGCGTTTCTTCACAAATTGAGTTCTCAGATGAAGGTCGCAATATTTTTCGCACTAAAAGATTGACTCGCCATATTTAATTTTTGTCTCATATCGCCGGTCATAAAACGACATTCCAATAAAACTATCCCTACTGTAACCCTCTGTACATCCCGCCGAAAAGTTAGAAATGATACGCAATTGAATGACTAAAATCATAAATATTCTAAACTTAAGCTCTTTTCTTGCCCAATCGATCGCACGATTGACAGAAGAGAAAAACGTAGCAAAATTTATCACGGTCATCGTCTTTGTGTGCAACTCACCGACACCGTACGACCACTTGAATGTTCTTTTCCTGAGGCACTTTCGTCTTCACCATATTTACTTTCCACTAAAATGTAAAGATTTTCACTCTACTTGACCAGTTTCAAGGATATTTCGATGAAGAAAGCTTGCTGTCCGTGTCTATTTCTTTTGATCTCTCGTTCGCGTTGCCTGCAGACTCGTTCGATTTCCGAGCCAGATTTGAACGCACCAATCACATTCAAGCATTTCGTTCACCTGATAACACAAGAACGTATTCCAGCATGCATTGCGGCAAAACAAAAAATCTTCCCACGGAAAAAAGGATTATTTTACTACCGCGCGCAACATACACCGGAATATGTTCTAGCTAGGGTGCTTTTATGCACTCTCCACCGAAAAAATGACATTCGTATTCCCGTCCATAAATGGGAGGAAACCAGAAGAGAGAAGTGGCCATGTCGCGGTTCATTTTGACGGCTATATAGTGGTCTGGGGAGGCTACCATCGTGTACGTATCGATTATCACTTTGAAAATAAGCGGCTATGAATTCATTCTTCGGGCGATACGCTAACCTTACGTTTTATAGGATCACCAGAGGTTAGAAATCTCGCGCTTCCTAGAAGATGCTCGGCTGTAGCTTCATGTTTATGTTGTTACTTTAAGATTTTATCCCCGGCTTCCCCCGGTTGTCCCCCGGTACTTGACCCATGCTGGGTATTCGGGAACCCCTGCGGGTTTGTAAACCGTATGATATGTACCATGTTTAGGGGAAAAAAGGGACAAACCTCTTTATGTTGACTCATGACCTGCTGAATAAATAGAAATGAGCCTCTTCGAATTTGGATCACTAAAAACTCAGTGATACTTTGTTTAGGACAGGTCCAGGTCCAGACTTGATGGAAGTTTAAAATACCTGTCCAGGGCGACAGGGCCAAAAACCATACCCTATCCAGCAGTATGTCCCCACATACACTGTAGTCAAATGATTATGAGCAAAATTAATATAATATTGTTATTTCATTTCAGCATGGTCCCGAGGTGGCTTTTCCCGGAGTTCATTTTGTAGTTGATAAATATCACCATAGTAACGAGGTGTGGCTGTATTGCATTGAGACATCCACATGGTAAGTTCTGTCTTTCACATAAAAAGTTCTCTTTCATATTAGCATTTTGTCGCAAAATGGTGGCTGTCAATTCTTGAAATCATTTCTATACACATTTTGTTTATTACAGCTCCTGATATTTTTAGGAAGCAAATTGAAACAAGTGGAGAAGAGCCACCTCCTATGTCAGGATCATCTGCATGTGTAATGGAAGGAAAATCAATGTTTATCTTTGCTGGACATTGTGACGGGGGACCAACCTCCACTGTATGTTGGTAACACTGCCTCAAAACACAGTTTTCATTAAGAATTCTAGTGGCAGGAGAAAGGTGCAACATTACAGGAGAATATTGGAAAGAGGCTCTATGTCTGAATAGGCTACTGAATGTTAGCTGAGGAATTCTGTGTAGTAAACAGAGAATTCTCCAATACCCAATACCCATAATGAAAACCCTGAATACAGTTCTTGTTTTGCAGAATACAAACTTCACATAAGCTATTGTGTCCTCCCTGACAACTCATATAATTCAGGTGACAAATAATTAATATTAATCTTCCATGTCATTTCATTTCTGTTTAAGGTTTTTGCATTAGATTTAAAAACATTTGTCTGGGAAAATCTGACAAGCAGGATCCAGGGAAACCCTCCTTCACCAAGGGACAAACTGTGCTGTTGGACTCACAATGATTTGTAAGTCGTAGCAAATGAACTGTAATTCTAACTGTACTGAGACACAGTTGATTTCAAATACAAGATGCAGTTTTTTCTTCCAAATAACATATCCAGACACTTAGAAGATGCCTTGTCATCTAGGTAACAATCTGAATATTGGATTGAGTGATATTTGTTATGGCTTCTGTAATGATATTGTTTAAGTCCTTATGTCGTGGTGTTGATCAAATTGCTACAGATAAGTCCAAGTGAATTAAATGCGGTTATATATATGAATAAATTAAGTTACTCACTTATATCCATGGTTCCACCCACCCTTCCTCCCAATTTGCTGTTCTTTATCATAGTGGGGGGCTGTGCTTTGGTGAGCCTGGTGGCCATATCAGCTGGAGGTAAATACTCCTGGTACTGGTAGTTTTACCATGCTGACCAGGTTCCAGGTTGGGGTTTGGACAATTGGACTTGTATTGCAGAAACTCAAAGGATACACAAAGGGAGCATATCAAAGCATGAAGAACATAGCCAATGTAATGTACATCCATGGGGTGCACCTGGGGCTAAATAGAAAAGAGTGCAGGCAGGAAACTACTACTTTTTTCAGCAGCGGCTGAGAAGACTTTTAACTGTGACACTACCATAATCTCTCTGTGACGACTAGCATTGATCAATAATAATATAAATAGGTTCCTGGAGATGAAGAGTATAAAAAGCACTAAATGTCATATGGAATAGAATAATGGTATTATTTGCAACTAAATTTCACTTTAGGATTCTATATTTTGGAGGATATGGCTTGGCTCCAGACCCTGAGAGAGTAGACCAGTCTAACGGATATTTCAATTTTAACTCCAGTGGTGAGGAGCAATTTACAGTAAGTTAAAAATTATAGTATTCTTAAGGTTTCAACAAAACCTGGGTGAGATAAGCCTCTTGGAAGCCACCAAGTGATAGCAGTTAGGAACATGGTTAATAGGGTTGATCCAGTCCAAGTTTTGTGGACCCTGGTAATTTGTGGCTGACTTATCTCATTTATTGCTGTGTTATAATTTTTGTGTGTGTAAGTATTTTCACTGATTACAGTGGAACCTTGATTTAATGAACTGCTATATTATAAAGAAGTCCTTGGTATAACAAACAGTTTTCTTCAGCCCGGCCAAAATTACAATAAAATGTATGGAATAGAACCCTCGATATAATGATCCTTGATGTATTGAAATCCTCGTTATAACGAACACAATTCAGAAACACAAGCATAAAATATACCTTGATACTAGTAGTAATCAAAGATTAATAAGTGCGTTCGAAGTTCAATGAATTTAGCTAAAATCATACAAAAACAGAGGAGGAAATTAGTTGAGAGATTAAATGAGAAAGACGAAGTATTTAAAGAGCAACATGAACAATAGCAACTTTAATAGTGAAACCCAAATATGTAACCAAAGATGTTTATCTACTTAGTTACAATGTAGTTTAGATACTGATTGTGGGAGACTAACTTTTGTAACAGTAACATGAATGATAGTAACTTGAATAGTTACAAGGGATTGGTTAGTTGCAAGGGAAAATGTAACAAAACATGTTAGTCTACTCAGTATCTTGAAAAACTGAAAATGATAGAGTAGATTTTATAACAACAACATGAGGCTATGATGAAGTTCAAAATGCTATGAAAATTAGATTTTTCCATGTCTAAACGTTTCGTGTCTGTGTGTCATAGCATTGTTTAACAATTTTTCTTAACTTAACAGTAACCTGGATGATACTAACTCGATTAGTCACAAGGTAAAATGCAATAATTAAAACATGTCAATCTACTCATTTACAATGTAGTTCAGATACTAAATGAGTGAGACTAATTTTTGTAACGGTAACATGAATAATAGTAAATTGAATAGTTTCAAGAAAGTTATGAAGTTGGTAATGCTATGAAACTTTTTGCAATGTTTAAAAGTTCTGGTGTTTGCATGTCATACCATAGTTTAACAAAAAAATTTTAATAGTAACATGAATAGTAACTTGAATAGTTGCATGGGATTGGTTAGTTGCAAGAGAAAATGTAAAAAAACATGTCAATCTACTCAGTATCTTGAAAAACTGAAAGAGATAGACTAAATTTTATAACAACAACTGGAACATGAAGCTGTGATGAAGTTCAAAATGCTATGAAACTTAGATTTTTTTCCATGTCTAAATATTTCGTGTTTGTGTGTCATAGCATTGTTTAACTATTTTTCTTATCTTAACAGTAACCAGGGCCGGGTTGTTCAAAGCGCGATTAAGCAAACCCAGGGTTAGCGTCAATTTTTATTCCAGTTAAATTAATAACCAAAAGAGATTTTCTTAAGGATTCTTGCTCTTTAGTTTTATTTTTCGATTTGACTTCATGTGCAGCTTATAATTAGCTTTTGAAATCTTTTTAAACAAAAGAGATTAAATCTTTGATTAAGCTTTAATCGTGGGTTAGCAGTAATCGTCTTTTGAACAACTGGGCCCTGGATGATACTAACTCGATTAGTCACAAGGTAAAATGCAATAATTAAAACATGAGAATCTACTCATTTACAATGTAGTTCAGATACTAAATGAGCGAGACTAATTTTTCTAACAGTAACATGAATAATAGTAAATGGAATAGTTTCAAGAAAGTTTAATATGAAATTCAAAAATTAAGTGCTATAAAAGTTTTTGTGATATCTAAAAGTTTTAGTGTTTGTATCTCATAGCATGAATTATTAGTAACTTAAATAGTTACTAGAGATTGGTTTGTTACAAGGGAAAATGCAACAAAACATGTTAAATGGCAATTTTTTCAATGTCCACAAGTTTTCGTGTTTGCGTGTCAAAGCATACTTTAACTGTGTCTAGGTTTAAGACAGCCTCTGTGATTTCCTCCTCTGTTGTTTCATTTGCAATTAAGTGACAAATTGAAAACAACTTTGGCACTGCTTCTTGATAAACCTGTAGCTGAAGCTTCTGCAGTGGTTGTTTGGAGTTTTGGATATGGATCTTGAGTGTCCACTTTACACTGCAGCTGGTTGCCTTTTGTGTTACTTTGCAGTTATCGCAGACTGCAATTTTTCCCTTGATTGTAACTTTTTTTGAACATGAACAACAACAGTTGTATTTGGTGACACTGCTTATTCCTAGTATTTCTCCAATGGTTTCTGTTGTTGTTGAGATGTCACTGACTTCAGGTAATGTTTGTTTGAAGGGTTCAGCGTCCTTGATGGTGTATAAATTATCTTGTTTTGGTGTGTTCAAGTATCTTTGATTCTGAGATACTTTCATTCTCAAGTTGTTGAAGAAATAGGTGGACTGTGGTGTGACACTGTCAACATGCTCACCCCAGAAAATAACTTTTATGTAACCAGATGGATCAACTATATAGCCTTCCTGTTTTTGACAGGAGAATCTTGGATGACTATAGTTTTGGTCGCACTTAGATGTGATATCTTTCCTTTTATTGACACTAGCTGTTGTGGTGCTACTTTTGACAAGGATGCAATTGATGTGACATCATCTTGTGCTTTGTATGGAAAATCAGCTGTTGTTGAAGTGATGGTTGTGTTCCTGTTTATTACTACATCACTTCGTCCATACTTATTGCTGATGTTAAAATTTGAAATTTTAACCGGTGATCTTTAAAGCGGCCATTGCATCAAGAGTTTCCTTCTTTTCAGTTGCAAAGCATACACTGCCAATGAGATCTTTCTCTGTCTGAAGGTGGCAGTTAAAGTAGCTTGTTGGTCCAGATTTTTTTACTGGTGAGACATTATGCACAAAGCAAGTTATGTCTTGTTTTTCTGTAGAAGGAGGTAAAAAGATATTTAGATTAATGTAATAAATTTGGCATGGATGGGATTACTGCATAAGGTAGCTTGTGTTATTTGAAAAAAACATATGTGTAAATATTAGTCTCCTTGTTTCATGTACTGTAAATCCTCTATTAAGCCCCAGGGGCTTATTGTTTTAAGGCGCATTGGGGGCTAAATAGAAAGGAAGGGCTTAATAGAAGGGGAAGTGTTAAAATTTAGCAAAACAGGAGCAGTTCACCACTCATTAATTACTGTAATTAAGATTATTTTTAGTACAAATAACAGTGATATTTTGGCCAAAGTTCGCCACCAACATGCAAGAGGTGTGGGAAAAATAAATTGTATCATATAACTACATGAGAACATTAAAGGGTGACAAAAGTGATAGGAAACAGTGTACATCTAATACCTAGATGTTCAAAATAATATGTTTTATTAATGAGAGCATATAGAGCAGGTAAGGTTATAAAATGATTTTAAAACAAGAAGCATTAGTTTAATAGAAGAAAGGAACATTATAACCATAATATTTAAGTATGACCGGGAGATACATACCTGAAGCCATATTAGATCTCTGTCTGGTCTGTTGAAAAAAAAAAAAAAAATAAGGATGTATACAGATGTTTTAGGAGGGTGTTTAAAATACCTTTAAACCCTAGTTAATACAACACTCTGAAACATTACATGGAACTTTGCTTTAAATGTAGTTGGAAAGTGAACTATTTATAACCATAAAAAAAAAAAAATCATTTATGTATGCATGTGTTGAAGGCCGTATAATCAATTTATTCTAATTAATCAATTTTGGGTGTTGTACTGTTGTGAGTGACTTTGTTCACATCACTCAACTTGGGATCAATTTATATTTGCTAGATTATATAGCCTGCTTTCTTCTTCAAGTCTATATTTTAAATTAGTGGATTTCTTAAGACTCTTAAGTCTTTCAAAAGTCATTGGTTCAATAATACAAGATGAAAGTGTTTTCACTCTGCTTATAGCTACATATGAAATGCCTGCAGTAGTTTCAGTCTGACCAATGTCAATCCATGCTTTTGGCAGTGTTAACCCTTGGCTCTTGTGTATTGTGATTGCCCAAGCAAGTTTGAGAGGCAACTGTTGTCTCTCATGTAAACCATCTAGTGTCTGTGAGGTTATTGTTATTGGGCATATAGGCACACATCGTGGAATGCTATCACTGATAGATGGACCTCTATACTCATTAAATTTTACTATGACAGCGACAGGCAAGTCTGGTGGTTGCTGGTTGTTTGCATAAATGAAATCTTCAACCGTTCCAGTTGTACCGTTACAAAGTCCAACATCTATCCATAGGTTCATGGTAAGCATTACATGTGCACCTTTTGCAAGGAAAATGGTCGGTTGTAAACCTGACATGTCATCCGAACTTGCTTTCTTAGCTATATCACTAGAGTGACGTGCAGTGATGCAGGCTATTGGCTGATGAAGTTCTGATAACTGTTCAAAGTTATAATTAGCAACTTCTTCATTGCTGAAATAGAGCCTAGTGGCATCTTGAAACTCATTCACGTTCAATGCTATGGAAGGCTGTCTTGCCAAAAGAAGTTTCAATCTTGCTCATTAGAATCTCCTGTGCGAAGGCGTATGAGTAAATCTCTAAACTGAGCTTGCTGTTGATTTAAGCCTTGAACCCTCTGGTTTACTGACAGTTTTACAACATTGCCAAACATGTGATAAGCTAAATAGCCTTGTTCACCTGTAGAACTGGAGGGTCTCGAATGATATAATGGCTTATCTGCCACTGGAGGCAATTGAGCTGGGTCACCAACTAATATCATGGATTTACCACCAAATACTTCGTCATTTTTGCCTGTTGCTTGTCGGCAGCGTCTATCAATCCAGCCAAACAATGTTTGTCCTAGCATAGAGTATTCATCAATTAGGATATAACTGATATCTTTCAGCTTGGTTTGTAATGTGACAAGCCCTTGTCCTGTTAATTCTTTGTTATGTCTTGGGCCAACAGGCAATTTTAATAGTGAATGGATTGTACATCCGTTTATGTTAAATGAAGCTTTGCCAGTTGTGGCAGTCACTGCACAAGAGTGTTGGAGCAGGTTTCGGATGGCATTAATGAGGTAACTTTTCCCTGTACCGCAACTCCAAGTATAATAAGAAGCAATGGATCTTTAGGGCAGGCTTGTTCAGAATGTGCTTTCACCATATTGTAGGCATGTCTTTGCATGTCACTGAATGTATTAACATCAATATTTTGTTGTTGCAAACCAAAGGTAGAATCCAAAGTATCTTTCTTAGTTTTTTATCCAGGATGGCATTTCCTGTATTAAGTGATTTGCATACTTAATCTTGTCATTTTGCCAGTCATAATCAGGCTGAGAGGTTTGTTGTGTTATATTATCTTGGTTAACAAAATACCCAGGTATGAGATCTGCTAAATCCATCCACTCTTCACGCTGTGGAAGCTCTTCTGAAGAGTGCTCTATATTTGGTTCCTCTTCTGTGTTATTCTGTACACTTTGTAGTTTTTCATACCAGTCAGGAACATGCTCTTCAGCATATGGTGTTTGTAGAAATTCCTTCCATTTTGTGATGTATATTTCATCAGTGCCTTCCTGACAATCCCAGGCATTGTCTTGTGTAGTATGCCAAGGTTTGTGCTTAAGTAACTGATATTTGCAATAAAGTCCAAAATTTGGACCTTTTGAATTGGAAGAAAATACTGGAAAAACTCTGGGAATCATGTTATGAGGCTGAACTGTTAGTTTGTTGTTGACAAGTTTGTATTTTGTTGCAAAATGAATGAAATTAAGAGCCATTATATCTGGGATGGTTTGAATATATTTTTCCCTTTTAGCGTAAGTATCAAGCAATGAGTCATTGGTTACAGTATCTCCATCATTTGTTATAGTTTTGATTCTCGTGAACCATTTAGACTAATAGGTACCACATTAAATGATGAGCTGACAAGTTTCAGTGACATGAGATGATGCATAGTCTCTTGTGCAGAGAAGTCACGTTGGCCAAGTGACTTCATTATCACTTTTTTATCAATTTTGTAGGGTTGCTATTGTTGTTGCAATTACGGACAATAGAATTAAATGCAAGTTTCATTACAGGTGACTTTGGTTCACCTTTTGAAGCATATTTTGCAAGGTATTCAACACATGCATGATAATCAATGATCACTTGAATATCACAGTTTGCCCTCCAGCCTTGAAGCTGAAGTCGTTGGTGATTATTGAGTCTGCTATCATTCCTCTTTGTTATGATCTTTGCTTTGTATTGAGTGCTTCCATCTTTTGTATGAATGGGCTCAAACTCTAGTTTTGTATTAACACAAGGTTCAAATGGAAACTTAAATCTACATTTCAGTTCTGTTTCGTTTTGTTTCTTTCTAAGACAATAGTTTGTACTACAGCGAGTGTGCCTTTGTACAGTATTCAACAAATCAACATAATCTTGTTCAGAGTCTTGTAAACTTACAAGGTCCTTGTGACGCTTTTGACAAGGATGAATAGAGGGCTTCACCCATGTGCCATTATCTGGTGGATCTGGATTATATGTAGACAATAACCAATCTACATACTGACAAACTACCTGGGAAGCCTTTTCCCCATCCACTATCTGTTGATTGAGTTCTAGTATATTGACTTGCTCAGCTGTATTAGTGGACATTTCAGCCAAATAGCCTTTTAGAGCTGTTTCTGAGAGTTTACATAAACCTGGATCATTTTTCAGCTTTGCTACACCATGACAATGTATACTACCTCTAGCTTGATATTCAAATCTGTACCAGTGCCACTCAGCATCTAGTGAATTGTATAACCAGTATTTAATAAAACTTTCTAAACGCTGTGTAAAGAACCAGTCTGTAATATGAGGATTGTTAATCACATTCTGCCGTTTGTTGTCAGTTGAATTATTACTGACTGAGTTGCCAAAAATTGCATGAAGTTCAGGCCAATGCATATCAGCAGAGGAGAATGTGAAAAAAGAATGTTGGAGCTCCAGCATGGGCTATTATTGCTTTTAAATCTTCTTTAGCTTTGTGCCAATAAGCATTAGAACCAGTAATGTTACTAAGATAGCGTGATATCTTAGATATAAACATACTTGTGTTATTGCTAGTTGCCATTTGCCGCAGCTCTTCAGCAGTCAAATGAGCTTCTCCTGGGTTTTGTTTTAGGAACATGCCTGTCTGTTGCAGAATACGTTTTCTTTGTATCATATTCAATGCCCAGTAACCAAATCTGGGGTGAGTAGCAAAGCGATATACCCATTTGTCATTCTTGTTTTCTCCAAACTTTGAAAGGTGCTTTACTCTTTCTCCGAGTGGTATATCTCGGCGTAATGATGGGTTAGTAGGATCACCCTTACCATCTGGAAATAATGTTGGGAAAGCCATTGTTGCTATAAAGGGAGTTACATACTCGTTTAATGGTTCACTGCCAACTGTTGGCCAGGGCAAGTGATTAGAATCATTAGACAATTGTTGGCGCACAGCTTCTATTTCTTGCTGCTGACACTCTGGAATAGGCAGAAAACTACTCATTTCAGTACCCTCATTATAAACAATGTCATCTTCATTTTGAGGACCTAAGTCAGGTTCACATGTGGCATCCAAATCTATATTCTCTGTTTCAACCGAGAGAAGACCATGTGGAACACCATGTTCTGGTAAAGAATTTAAAGAATTTTGATTGATGGTTATGTCCTTGTAGTGTGAGTTATTATTAACAAGCCATTGTAGTGCATCAGCTACATTTTGCCTTCGCACTGTCACATCTTTAAAACTGTTCTCTTTACCTTTCATCTTAACAACAATAACAGATAGATCTTTTGGGTATCTAGGCAGAGAATGTGCTAGTTCAGCTATATCCTGAGGCAAATTGATACAGTGGCCTGAATAGCCCCTTTGTCCACCAGGTTTTATGTAAACTCGCATAACAGGAAGTGCACGTGCAATAAGCATTTCTTCTACTTGGGTTAACCCCTGCAGTTGTAAAGGTACTAATGATGGCACCATGTCATTTTCCTTAGAAAACTTTTTTGGTTGTTGTTTATCTCGTATGCACCTCTGACACTGGTAGTGATCAACCTTCCTTGGACTGGATTTCAATGGCCATGCTTCAAAACAGACAGTGCATTGGCAAACTGAATACTGATTGGACTTATGAAAATCGTTCATGTTATTTTGTGCTTGTTTTTGTTCGTGAACTGGACCAGCAGAGCTCTCTTTTTGTCCTGCAGAAATTGTTTGAGACCTTTTATAACTGGCTCTCCTATTTGCAAGTCTCTCTTTTCGCTTTTCAACAGTTTCTTCAGACGTTCTTTTTCTATAAGAGTCTTTGTAACTTTTTAGTCTCTCTTTTTGCTTTTCAACAGTTTCTTCAGACACTCTTTTTCTATAAGTGTCTCTCTTATTTTTAAGTCTCTCTTTTCGCTTTTCAGCAGTTTCTTCAGACATTGTTTTTCTATAAGTGCCTCTCGTATCTTCAAGTCTGCTTGCCCTTTCATTAGCTGTTTCTGTATATTTGACTCTTTTCATGTAATTTCTGTGCTTAAGAAGTCTACCATGTCTGTTTTCATTGGTTTCTGATAATTTTCTCTTTATGCATGTGAGTTTGTTTTTATATCTACTGTTTTTGTCAGTCAATGTTGAAACATAATGCAACTCGTTAATATATCCAATAAATATTGTCTTTCGTCCATCCTGATCAGCAACAGGAGTTAAGATTGTACTTTCAGGTGAATTTATATTAGACTGTGTGATATGAATGACACAGTTGTATGCATTGGGCGATTCCAGAAAATATCCATACCATACCACGGACGGCTTTAAGGATTTCCGAAGGGGAGGGGGGATTCACGATTATGGAATTCTGAAGGCATGGGGGGGTATTTACGAATTGAAATCCGAAGGTATGGGGGAATTCCACAGGTGGGATTTCTGGAGTAGAAAGTGTAGAGTAAGTTCCTGGAAAACGCTATTGTTGTGGACTTTTGTAGTTCGTAAATAAACCACGAACGTATGACCGCGGAAGCAGAAGACAAGCATCGATAGATCAGACACGTGTTTACGCTCATAACTTATAGAAGTGAACAGTAAAACGTTGGTTTCACATTTACCTTGATGAATTTCTTGTCACGTGAATAAAAACTGAAAATGTATCTTTTAATACCGCTTGCAAATTTCTTGTTACTCCCGTCCGAAACCGTCCGATAAACAGTAAAAAACTCGCACCAGTCCCTCACTTCCAAGGAACGCCTTTCAGATTAGAACGCTTTTCGTGCGCACTACATGACGTATAAAAGGACGCAACACGACTCGACGGTATATTTGACCGCCAAAAGATTTTAACAGTCTGTTTGAGCTATTTTCCTTTGTAAACGTCAAAACAGCACAAGAAAACAAAGAGGAGTAAAATTACCTTAAGTGGTGTTTATTTTTATAGCCAAATTCGGACTTAAAAAGGAGTTTGCACGGCCTGGCAACTAGCGTAGGTTTTTCTTGTCACTGAAGAGTACAGCTTGTCACCTGGTGCTGCTAGATCACAGCCTTGAGGAGGCATAAATTCATGTTCGTTTGTTCTTACAGGCGTTGCTAAGTCGAAAATGTACTTCCAAAAAAAACCGGAAATTCTGAAGGGGAGGGGGGGTTCACGACTATGGAATTCTGAGGGCATGGGGGGGTAGCGCATTTTGGAATTTCCGAAGGCAAGGGGGGGTTAAAACATGGAAGCCGTCCGTGGTTGGGTATGGATATTTTCTGGAATTGCCCATTGGCCACAGCTTGCATTATGATGTTATCACACCATGTGCCTTGTTTTGACATTTGTTGAATATAGTTATTCCAGTGATCGTTAGAAATGCTTTCAATATACAATTCTGGGTAACTCTGTAAATGGCCAATTCCAGCCATACGAATTTCAAGATGCAAGTCAGCAGTCCTATACAGTTGGTGCGAAACTGATTTAAAGAAACAATCCCCAAATCCACCTACATCATGTGGTATAAGTCCTATGAGACGAAGCCTTTCAGTTAAACAATCCCATGGTAAATCATGACTAACAGCATTCTCAGGAGACATACCTCCATTTAATTTTGAATTATCAATATGAGTTTGAGGAAAGCTTTTTCCACCAGAATTCATTAAATCTGCCACACGGATATGTGTTTGTCTACAGTTACATGTAGAATAGTTATCTGTTGTTGTAAATTTTCTTTTCTGTATGTTCATGTAAAAAACAAATTTACTATAATAATGATCATTGGTATACCAGAATTTCCAGGTGTTGTAATTTCTACATAAATTAGTGATAAAAGAACTGTCTGGAAGATGTTGTCTTACAAAAGACTTGATTCTATTCCTAGACTTCGTATTACTTAGTGCCTTTAGAATTATTTTAACAGGAACGCGAGATGGTTCCCTGTCCCTTTTCCTCTGACAATTCACTCTTTTCTTACGAACTTCAACATTTTCAGAAATAGTTACACTATGATTTTCAATTTTCTCAGAAGAATAACTTGTCAAAGCCTTATCATGATCTTGTGAACTACAATCACCACTTATCAGCCCGGTAACCATTTGACTTTTGTCACTTTTCATTTGGCGCAATGGCCATCGAGCAGAATGACTCGGTTTATTTGCTTTGTGACCACAACGGGTCATTTGGCGCAATGGCCACCGAGTACAATGACTCGGTTTGTTTGGTTTGTATTTGTGACCGCTATGGGTCAAAGCACAATGGCTTGGTAGATTTGCTTTGAGACAACTTTGTGTCAGAGTTATCGGTTGATTTGCTTTGTTGTTCGGCAAATTCGAGGACATCAATTCAAAGCAGGAGAGCAGCGAAGGTCTTCGGTTTGTTGTAGTTCGGACAACGCCGACATCGGGCTTTCTACATGCTCTTGGAGTACTAAAAAGTTTCCTGGTAAGGCTTTGACAAGTTGAAGCGATGAACTTTTTAAGAAACATCGCATGAAGTTTGAGAAAAATAAATGAACTTACCGAATAATCCAAAGATATCCACGGAGGCGACACGGACGCACGAGCAGCTTGCACTCGCACGAGGTATAGTTGCGTGCGCACTCGCACGAGGTATAGTTGCTTGCGCATAAAAATAGTTGTGTGCGCATGTCCACCAGGTGAGCCCGCAATTTCTTTGGCCGGCTATTAGGCTTAAAATTCGTGCGCGCGCTTAATAATTATTCAAAATGGCGCAGATTTTGAACATCGCCCGTCCAAGTAACCAAAAATCTCGAATCTTCACGCCTGGCATGCACAGGTATCCCATCGACCACAGGATCCCCAAAGATTACGAAGCGTTCTCCTAACGTCGAACGCAATAAGGAATAAATGTCATCGTGTGACCAAAGGATAGCTAAAGAGGAATGCGAAACAGAGCAAAAAGGATAAAATTTTTGTGTACAGTAGTTTTAGCAGTTTTGTTTGCCTGTTCTTGTGTTTCTAGGGCCGTAGCTATGTAGAGCCCTGAACTGAGACAATAGCTTCGTATTAATGTTAATTACAGAAATTGGTCAGATCTGAAAATGCTGGGCGTTGGAAAAAAAATGACATTTTGCTCTTTTTTTTTTTTTTCAAAATTTTGTTAAATCGAGGCTTTCAATATAATGAACCTTCAATATATGAACAAATTTCCCCATTTCCTTGGCACTTCCTTAAATCGAGGTTCCACAGTACTTGTATCTTAAATTATGTGGTTGGCACCCTGAAGGCTGGTGTGGGAGAAGGGGCGGCGTGGGTTTAAGGGAGGACAAGTTGTTCTGGGGATGATCCTACCATTTCAGAATAATTTAGCAATTCAGTCCTTACAGACTCTTGGGCACCCAATCAGCTTCACTTAAGAGGAATTAAGCATTAATCACAATCTAATTTAACAAAACAGGACAACAGAGGATGGAACAGCCACTTGTTTGTATTGGATACAAGTAGTTTAACATGGATCCAACCAAAAACAAAGGTGTGCTACAAATGTAGTTGTTCAAACTGAAATTCAGGTTCAAAGGGTTTCAACTTTAATTGATTCTCCTTGACTCTTAGCCCTAATAATCATTAGCTAAGGACTAATAAAGTTCAGGGGACAAAAGAATTTGATGATGGCATTTATAATCATAAGTGACAAAGGAGTTGAGAATCAAACTAAGCTCAAATCATTTGAGTCTGCATTTCATTTGAAACTATTAACAGAAATAAATGCACCGCATACCCCTACCCTTCTTGGGAGGTTGGGAGTTTGGGGGTAGTTAAAGATGGAGTGTTTCCTATTTAGAAGCCTTGATCACATTGAAACACTCCTTGAAGAAATGCTTGATTCCACTTGAATTAATAGGGGTAGAATCATTTCATTTGTCAACTGAAAATCAAAATACTGTAAAAGTAAGTGCAAAAGGTATTGGATGATAGGCCTTATTTGACCAAGTTTTATCTATCATGGAAGCTTTCCACGGACTGGAACAAGGTTTTGACAGTTTGGCTGCTGGTTCAATTCAAAAAGCTACAATACAAAATTACAAGTTGACTTTCCTGTTAGAACTACTTTTTTTGTGTCTTTAGGGCAGACCACCATCTCCAAGAGCAGCCCAGGCATCTGCTCAAATTGCAAATATGGCTTATCTCTTTGGAGGAAGACATATGGTATAGTATTAAATAATATTATAATAAAAGGAAACTTGTTCTTCCGAAACTGAGGACGTGTGCACATGGTCTAAATTCTTTTACTTATTTGGTGACGGATCACTCTAATTTACTACCTGACAATGCTAGAACTGCTAGTAATTTATGTAGTTTTATACCATTCTTAGATGACACTATAAGTTATTGTAATGAAATTTGTTGTCTATTTTTTAAATGATGTACATTGTTGTAAATAGTTATCTGGTCAAAATTATTTTTAAAATTATCATCTATTGTACTTGATTGTTTTATTAATATGTTTTGTTTCTTTTCATTTGGAGATACTTAATAGCAGCAATGCTACTCTTTAATCCGAATGTTGAAATAAAGTTTTTTTATCTATCTATGTACGTAACCATATAATCCTCGACAAAGATTATTTTAATACACAACAGTCAACTGTCACGATCACCTTAAAGGAGTTATGACCCACTATTTGCTATCTTTTAAAAAGCTAAAATTTGCCTTCGCGTTAATTGAATTCCAAAAAATGGCCCAATTTATTTCTTTATAAGACTATATTTAGGCATTAGAGCAATTTCTTGGGTTGGGTTGTTCAAAGTTGTATTAAGATATAAACTCAGGGTTAGTGAGAAATTTGAACTCAGATATGAAAGCTTAAAAAAGGATGCGCTAAAAAGAATAGTGAAAATTATTCTGCAATGAGGACAGGTGCTACAGTCTAATCTTAAAATATGAAACAATATTTGTAGGAAAGACGGCGGAATGACTTGCATTCTCTCAACATGGACACTTTGGAATGGAGTGGCAGGTGAATTCAGTAGATTTTTTAGATATATAAAAATTCCACATTCAGTGCCTCAGGTTTGTTGCGTAGTACACTGTTTGATGCATGCTTGAGTTGGTGAAGTTCGTTACTAACTTGATTTCATTTTGTGTTTTCCTTAGTATCTCTACTACGGGAAATGTGCCTCAAGGTAGAACATGGCATTCTCTATCTCCAGCAAGCGACAGACATTTGTTTCTTTATGGAGGTTTCAACAATGATCAAGATGCACTAGGTATGTGGTAGTGTGGAAAGTGCAAAACAGCCCTATAGTTTTGAATGGTCAAGAACGCGCGTGCAGTCCAACAAAAGGTCTGAGCTTTGAGGCTCCCGCGTTTTGCTCGAGAATCTCACGCCTCGCACCTTGAAATACGATTTTAAGACGGTTTTGTTGTCGGACAGTATTCTAGCTTTTAAGCATTTTAGTTCAAAGAGAGAGGGCAAATATTACAAAAATCTATTTCTCGACTGACATCCCCGAAAAATAAGGTAACGCCTGTTCTGTAGGCTAACCTCAACTATCCAAGAAAGTGGCTGCTTTATAGCTGTAGGGTTTTTCAAGGCGGTCGCTGTCCGTTTCAAGACTGCCGGTGAAGAGGATTTCTATACCTGAAAGAAAAAAGCATGAAAAAAAAAACGGGCAGTGACTGCACATGTTTGCCGACGCCTTTTTCGGAGAAAAACTGAACACAAAATATCTCAAAGATCGTCGTGTCGATAAATTCATACATTCTATCTAGGATCGTACAAGCTTTCAAAATAAATCTCTGACTGATAATTTAAAAATTAAACGAGACTTACCAAGTCGATGTTTGATTGTAATTCTTCCTCGTCATCAGTCAGGAACGAAGGAGTTACATGAGAAGCATGCGCATTCTTATCTGGTCAGTCTTGAAAGTGGAAGTGTTTCCAGAAGAAGAAGCAGGAACGAAGGAGAAACGGGTGGGATAACAGCACTAGGGCCGGGCATGTAACT